TTCAGCAGGAAGAAAGAAAAAAACTGTATATTAATTAATTGAAATTAATTGTATATTAATCCCCAACTAAAACCAGAACTTGTACTGCCTGACGCACACAGCAGATTCATTTATGGTGGACATTAATTTGAGAGCTGCTAAGACTTTTGGTCCTGGGAATTTATGCCCCAAATGAGGATGAAGTACTGTTCTGTAAATGATTTATGGGGAGATTAATTACTTTTTCTTGAGAAAATTGGTGTTTGAAATGGATTGGAGTGATCTCCCACAACCGGACAGAGCTTTTGAGAAAAAAAAATCGCTCAAGATAAATTACCCTTTTTTTAAAAAAAATTAATGGACATTTTAGAGCTATTTTATTATGGAGACAGAAAAATGGCTTGAATTGCCTACAAGTACACATATTTTTAAGAAAGGCCTAGTTCTTGTTTAAGAATAGATATGATTGGATTTCAAAGAATTTGGCTTCTGAGGTTTCTAAAGGAGAGATATTACAAAGGACTTTTTCAGATCATAATCCTGTGAGCCTGGTTTATAAAGGAAAAACTGGTTCTTTCACATGTTGACTACATGAAATGTCACAGAAAGGAGTAATAGTGGAGGACTGTAAAAAGAAATTTAAAAGAATTTCTTTGAATAAAAGTTTAGATAAAGGCACTGATTTAAGAATGGTTGGGAATGCGTGCATGAAGTTTTTATTAGAGATCATTTTATACAATATAACAGTGTGCTCCGAAAGAAGAGACAAGAGGAAACACAAGCTATTTTGGAGGAGATAAAGGGGGAAAAAAGAAATTCACAGAGAAGATAAGGATTTCTCAACAGATTCAGCTATTAGAATGGCAGTTATCCATGATAACACAAAGAAAAATAGAAGTAAAAATGAAGTATGTGAAACAAAGAATTTTGAGTTTGCAAATAAACCAGGGAGGTAAGTGGCTGGCATTTAAATTACAGAAGGAAAAAGATATTCTGTTAAAGGACAATGAGGCCATGAGAAAAGCATTTTATCAATATTATCCTAACTTGTATAAAGGAAGTGACATCACTTTAGAAAATATAGATGAATATCTAAAGAAACGCACGTTCCTGAGAATTCTGAGACAAATTATGAATGGACTTATAAGAATAAAGGAAGTTTTTGAAGCTATATAAAAGATTAAACTGGTAAAGCTCCCTGGGCCAGATGGATTATTAGTTTATATCATAAATGGTTTGAGGGTGAACTTTTACAACCTCTAGAAATTGCCACGAACCAAAATAGTAAGTCTCCAGAATTGAAAAGAGGCCAATATAGCACTAAGTACCTAAAAAGGGTCAAGATTTCTTAACAAGAAATTATAGATCAATATTGTTATTTACTATATTAATGAAATGATATATAAGTCTAAGTGCTATTGCTAATAATTACAAGTTGTTTGCCACAATTCTAATTGATAAACTGAAAATAATATTTCAAAAATGTATTCATGAGAATCAATACGGATTTTTAGCTAAAGGACATTTCTAGAAATGTATTGGACTTTTTGGAATATTTGGCGCAACATCATAGTGAAAAACAAAGCTGAATTGATTTTCTTAGATGCAGTGAAGGCCTTTGATCAATTAGAACGGGGCTTTGCTGTTCAGGATTTTGGAAGATGTAAATTTTGGAGAATCTATGTATATATAAAAATGGCTGTGTATGTGTGTGTGCTTCAGCATAACTCTGGAACGCTTCGAGCAATTTCAACCAAACTTGGTGCACAGATGACTTACTTTCTGGAAAAAAATACTGTGGGGTAAGACACCCCTAACACCCCCTGGGGTGTGTATTCTGTTCAGAGGTGGGTTCCTTCCAGTTCGCACCTATTCGGTAGAACCGGTTCATCAAATCTACCAAACCAGTTAGAAGAGGTTCCATCAGTGGACCCGGAAGGCAGGCCACACCTACAGAAGAGGTTCCAAAATTTTCTGAAACCCACCATTGCCACACACACACACAGAGAGACAGACAGACTGACAGAAAGAGAAAGAGAAAGGAAAGAAGAAATAAATAAATAAAAAAAGAAAAAAGAAAGAAAAAGAATGAGAGATGAAAGAAAAAAAGAAAAAAGGGACAGAGAGACGAAAGGAAGGAAAAAGAGAGAGAAAACACATGGCTGGCAAGCCACTCCCACCAGGTCACATGGCCGGCAAGTCACTCCCACAAAGGAGGCCACACCCACAGAGTAGGTTCCAAAAAATTTTGAAACCCACCACTGGTTCTGTTACAATACAGCCTGTTGTGCCTTAAAAAGGCTTCTAGTGTACTGCCATAAAATGGCTTCTACTATACATTGCAGTGG